ACAAAGCCATAACAATTAAAATAGTTTGCTATTGGAATAAAAACAGACACACAGACCAATGGAACCGGATAGAGAGCCCAGAAGTAAAGCCACACTTATCTGGACAACTAATCTTTGACAAAGGAGCAAAGAACATGCAATGGAACATGGACAGTTTGTTCAATAAATGGGGCTGGGAAAACTGGACCACCACATGCAACTAAATGAAACTAGACCACTGCCTCTCACTGTGCACAAAAATCAACTCAAAGTGGATAAAACAAGTGGACATAAGACCTGAAACCATAAAATATAGAAGAAAATATAGGTAAAACACTACAAGACATACGTCTCAATCACTTCTTTAAAGACTCCTCACCCAAAGCAAAGAAAATCAGGGAAAAGATAAACACCTGGGAGTACATCAAACTGAAAAACTTCTGCACAGCCCAAGAGACATTAACCAAAACAGAGAGACACCCCAATGATTGGGAAAAAAATTTGCACTCCATTTCACACATTTTCAAAAATTTACTCTTGGGCCTCCCTGGTGGCCCAGCGGTTGAGCGCTGGGCTGCGAAGCTGCCTGCAGCCTCTGCAGCACCAGTTCGATCCCCGGCCACTAGGCGACGGTCCCACATGGCGCGCAGACCTCTCCTACTGCCCGCTGCTCCCCTCAGCAATGTATTTCGTCAGTCTGCCTGTTCTGTTCCCTGCTCTGGTGAATTCTCTCACCCTCCCGCGCTTCTGACTGTACCCAGTGTTTGTATAAATAAATAAATAAAATCTTTTTTTTTAATTTATTCTTTATCTTTTAATCTTTGATATAGATCAATTCACAGCATAAGACTGTTTCTCCACAAATAATCACTGGTGACATTAAGAGATACATTTTTCCCAAAAATTTTCCCATACTTACCAAATGAAACTTAGCTGTGTTTCATGGATCAGCTTAATTTTTTTTACTGGTAAGTGGCAAATACCTGGGCATAGTTTTGATATAAGACATTTGTAATTCCTTCTGGCATGGCAGTTAGGACTCTATTCCACTGTCATTATGAAACCTATAATGGATCTACAAACAAAATCCAGTTATAACCAACATCAGCTGACAGATATGTGTGATGGGTTACTTGAATATTTATGCCTTAGTGAGATTTTTCTCTGATGACCCATTTTTCTCTGGTGCAAAAACAGTGTTGATACTCACAAGAGAGGGATTAATCAGTGAAAGAATGACCCACTGATTTTGTGGACAATAAAGTCACCTACTTTTCGTCACTCATTATTCAATCTTCATGAAACGAAAGCTGGTTCCGATGGTCCACAAAGAGCCTAAATTCTCTCTTCATTTAAGTTTTTATCTGCCAATAAAAACTTCTTTTCCTCTTTCCATTTCAATGATGTCAGTATACCTGAAATATTCTGGGGTATTTTCTGCCTTTTTCACTGTAGTATATTCTCATAAATAATATAACTTCAAGTAGACTGATGATTCCCAAATTTATATGTGTAAGGGAAACACCTTTACATCTTCTGTCTTCAAAATTCAAATTACCCTTAGACATCCTTATTGGACTCACAAATTGTAAGTTGGTGTTTCCCATTTCCTGCCTGAGTACTCTTGGCAAGAGGTGGAATTCTCTGCTCTTTTCCATGTAAAACAGATATAAATTTGTACAATCTTGGGTTGTTCTGAAAAATTGACATTATTGAGCCAAAAATTCCTATCACTCTATCAGGGACAGCATAAACACTCATCACTACTTAACATACTAAATGTTCTTATCTTTTTTTCTCCTGGGCTCCCCTTGATATGGAAATTTCAGCCATTGAAACATGATACTACTTTTAGTTCTACTGTTAATATTAAAACTCTCAGATAGACAGTTTTTATTTCCTCTCTTCCCTAAATTCAGGAGAAATCATCATCATCTAGTGATTAGAGCCTTTACATGGAATCCCATTGGAACTGAACCTTCTGAAACAAATTAAGAGAATTCTTACACCCCCAGGACTTCACTAACATCCTAACTCAATACATGTACAGGTTTTACATCACTCCTTTCTAATCACCAACACATGCCTTCTGTTCTATCCAGGTATTATGCAGGCTTTCTTAAAGCAAATGAAATCAGGTGTATTTGCTGTTAGTGCACTTCCAGTAGTATTTACATTTTATTAGCTCAGTGAACTATGAGGACAATATTGCAGCTAAGTTGTCATTTATAAGAAAGGAAAAAATAGTTATATTTTGGCAAAAATAGTGATTTGTGAAAATTACTTTAGGGGCCATCATCTTTGAATGTCCATCATAATATTGTTTTCCAAAGCATGCTAGTGAGATCATTCAGTTTCCTTTCTTAAGAACTTGTACTATAGGCTATGACTGGTGCTAATCTTTCTATGAAGAAAAAAAAGTGAAGAGAAAATAAATCTTTACTTATGATTGCAACAAATATTTCTAACGAATCGAATAACTTCACATTTCAATTTTATACAGCAAAAGAACATCAGAAATAACAGTTCTTCTTCTGAGATATCTACATTATTATCATTTAACTTCAAACATAGAAGTCTGGCATTTTACTGAGACCAAGGAACTAGAACTTTAAATAAAACATTAAATAAAACATTTTTTTGTTAAAAAATTAACAAACAAAAAAATCCTTACTCTGCTGGAAGACAAAAAAAAAAAAAAGCTTTAGCTGAATATGCAATCCTGAGAGCTCAAGATGAACATGAAAGTGTAAGAGAGTCTGTCCATCCATAAATGGCCCGTCTTGGAGCTTTGCATATTTACAACATCTTTCAGAACATACATGACAGCAGAGTCTTCCATGATTTCCACACAAGACACTCTTTGATGGCCTCTTCCACTAAAACTCTGAGAACCAATTCCTTGAATCTTACTACTAGAATAAAAACATTTATTTTAAAAGTTTGACAAATGTAAGGAATTTTTTATTTTTCAGACATAACTCCAGATATGTCAGGACATAAATTTTACACAATGAATTTAGATGCTTTGTCCTCTGTCTCTTATGCACATGCAAGGACCATCTGGGTGAATTTGGGGCCCTTTGTGACCAAACTGCAAACATGATAATGACTCTAATGAGAAGTGAATTTGGCAAAGTCCTACAGACACATCAGTGGGAGCAGTGTCCTTGGGAACATTAAGATGCAACACCTTGGCCAATGAGAAATGATTTCTGGCAAGATTTCTAGTCAGATAAGAAATTGAAGAAAACGTGAACTATAGTTTAATATCTAATTTATAAAAGGAATAATATCAACATACATAATAATATGTTTATGTAGTTACATGTAAACAATTATTACTGTTTAACTTATTAGTATAGATTTGTATCATAATTTTTCTACATAATGTAGTCTATCCCTACAAAAAGGATAGAGAATAAGGAGGCTAAAAGCATTACACAAAACTAATATACAGGAAAGATTTTCAAATCTTGAAAATAAGAATAATTATTCTTACAATATCATTGCTTGACAAGTTCAGCCACGAAGCACAAGGAAAATGCACGAGTAATTCACTTTGCCATTTACTGTTTGCTTAATGTCCAAACCATGAAGTTACACATGAAATTTTTTCATCATGCTAAGACTATGATGTTACTCTTCCTTAGTATATGAACTATAAGAAAATATATGTCAGCAATCCTTCATTATAACGTCTATAGTCCATAAATACGTTTCTGAAAAAGTTTCACCTTTTACCGCTTGATGGTGAAGTTGAATAAAATATTTTGCTAGAATAATTCATAATGCGTCATGATTGTCAACTTTAAAAAATTCATACGTTCATTGAATTCACCTCCAAGTGCAGAAAATTTTCAAAAATACAGGATTTGTTTTTCTTCATTATAAATCCTGGGTCACTTTGCTTATCAAATGGGCTTGAGCATGAACCTATGGTTAACAATGGCTGGGGCTACCACTGCTGAGGGGTATAAGCTTCCTCACAGAACAGCTTACACCTGCCTAACTCCATTTTCTGAGTACAACACACTTTCTGTTTATTGGAGTAACATTGCACAGAGCACATGGGTCTGGTGTCCAGCATCAAACATTAACTCCTATATATTCGACAATGAACTCAACACAAAAAGTCCTAAAAGAAAATACAGTTTATATCTAAAAACAAAACAGTTCATTTCTAAAATGATTTTGATAGTTGAACACTACTCTCTCATACATGACAGTAAGATTTTTACATGTTCTTTGAACCACAGAAAAATTTCACCCTTATATTATCAAGCTTGTTTTCCTTTTCAAAAATAGAAATTCCTGTCTCTTAGAATCCTGGATAAATAAACTAAATTTTGTAAGGAAAATTTAAACATATTAAAGACTAGATAAAAATGGGCCTCCCTGGTGGCACTGCAGGATGAGCGCAGCGCTGTGAAGCTGTCCGCAGTCTCTGCAGCACCTGTTGGATTCCCGGCCAGCCAGGGAGATTCCCACATGGCATGGCAGACCTCTCAGTCTCGCCCGCTGCTCCCTTCAGCAGTGTATTTCGGTCCTTCTGCCTGTTCGGCTACCTGCTCTGTCTCTGGTGAATTCTCACGCCCTCCCACGCCTCTGGCCTGTACACTAGTGCTTGTATAAATAAATATATCTTTAAAAATAAAAACTAAATAAAATGCTCTGAAATCTTCAAACTTAAGAAACTGTCACTATGTTTTCCCATTACTAGGCTATTTCTTCAATTTCCAAGGACAGGCATATTCTCATGAGATCACAATATTGTTGTTCTCAACGTCATTCTCAAAGCACATATGTGTCTTTTCCTTTAAGTAGATAAAAGAAGGTGGAGAAAGACATATTCAGGCAGATAATTGCTGATTGTAAACCTTTTGTTTTCATGTGCCATTTTTTAAAAAATGGCGAGGGTCATAAATAAGAAGTAGGGAGGAACTTGCTCACAATTTGTATTAAAATAAGCAGAAATATAGATCAAGAAGAAGTAAAAACGTATGAAACTTAAGAAACTATTATTTTTTTGGACCTTTTATCAACATTGCCCTAATTCCATGGTAGGAGTACAATTTTGTGACCAAGTCCTTAAAGGCTTGTATCACTTGTTTGTTCCTCAGAGTATAAATAAATGGGTTCAACATGGGGGAGATGGAAGTAGGTAAGAGTGTAATCCCCTTATTCATGGTCATGTCATCTTTTGCTGAAGGTTTGATGTAGATGAAGATACAGCTGCCATAGGAAAGGAAAATCACAATCATGTGGGAAGAACAGGTGGAAAATGCCTTCATCCTTTGCTGGGCTGATGGGAACCTCAGAATTGTTCTGATGATATACACATAGGACAGAATCACACAGGCAAATGTGATGAGGAAGATCAACACAGAACACACAACAACCATCTGCTCTAGGAGCCAAGTATCTGAGCATGAGATCTTCAGCAGAGGATTAGCATCACAGGCAAAGTGGTCAATAACATTAGAGTCACAGAAATCCAGACCCAAAAACATAATGAACAGTGGGGATATAAGCAACAAAGTCATCATCCAACAGCAGAAGACAAGCATTTGGCAGACCCTGCGGTTCATGATGGTCACATAGTGCAGGGGTTTGCAGATGGCCACATACCGATCATAGGACATGATGGTCAGGAGGAAAAACCCTGTTACTGCAAATAAGTCTATCAAAAATAGCTGGCTTAGACACCCATTGTACGAAAAGTTCCTATCGCCTGTTGATAGACTGTACAAGTATCTAGGAATGCAGGCAGAAGTGAATGAAATTTCTAAGAAGGAAAAATTCTGGAGAAAATAGTACATTGCAGTTTTAAGGTGGGAATTCACTAATACGAGGACGATGATGATCAGGTTTCCAGTTACACTCAGCATGTAAGAGATGAATAGAAATATGAAAATCAGAATCTGCAGTTGTGGGTCATCTGTTAATCCCAGGAGGATGAAGGTTGTTATTGCTGTGTGGTTTCTCATTCTTGGCTCCTGAATTACTCTTAACTGTGTGTGAAATTAGGAGAAATAGAGTCAAAAAAGAGAGAGAATATTCTATTCACAGGGTTTTAGGTTAGAAAGTCAAGCCATAGAATTTATTTGACTTCATGATGTTATTTTAAAACCATGCTCTTGGCTTCTTTAGTGGTCACTTGATTGGTTGAAAATCTTGCATCTCAAACATGATGAGCACAACATATAAAGAGAAATACATTTATATTGCAATGAGGTTAACATGTATGCACACACGACACATAAATTGCATATCAGAAATAAAATTTTCAAGAAAAAACAACCTTTAGCCTCCCTTCTCCTATGACCCATTTTTAATGTCCTGCATTAAAATAATTAGTAGTATATGAAATCAATGTTATAATTGCTAATTAGTTATGGCCTGTGGTTTGCCAATAACAGAATTTCTTAAGGATGCATTCAGCAACACTATAGTATAAATGACAGGATCATTTCACACATTTTCTTTTCTTTGTTTTTTTCCATCTTCCATATTTATTTTTTTTTTTGATAGAGATAACACTTTCCTTTCTTTGACAGAGATACACTTGCCCTGTTACAATCTGTATTAATATGTTGTCTTTTTTGCCTATTTAACACTATTTTTATGACACCATATAAAGTATGTAGACAAATATATTGTAATAATTTATTCCTGTATATTTAGTGATCTTACATTAATCAGGAAGTAGGCTCAGAAAGGAGGGATCACAATGCCAAACTTCAAGCTATACTATAAGCCATAACAATTAAAATAGTTTGGCATTGGAACAAAAACAGACACACAGACCAATGGAACTGAATAGAGAGCCCAGAAGTAAAGCCACAATTATCTGGACAACTAATCTTTGACAAAGGAGTAAAGAACATGCAATGGAACATGGACAGTTAGTTCTATAAATGGGGCTGGGAAAACTGGACCACCACATGCAACTAAATGAAACTAGACCACTGCCTCTCACTGTGCACAAAAATCAACTCAAAGTGGATAAAACAAGTGGACATAAGACCTGAAACCATAAAATATAGAAGAAAATATAGGTAAAACACTACAAGACATACGTCTCAATCACTTCTTTAAAGACTCCTCACCCAAAGCAAAGAAAGTCAAGGAAAAGATAAACACCTGGGATTACATCAAACCGAAAAGCTTCTGCACAGCCCGAGACGTTGACCAAAACAGAGAGACACCCCAATGATTGGCAAAAAAAATTTTGCACTCCATCTCACACATTTTCAAAAATTTACTCTTTATCATTTAATCTTTCATATAGATCAATTCACAGCATAAGACTGTTTCCCCACAAGTAATCACTGGTGACATTAAGAGATACATTTTTCCCAAGAATTTTCCCATACTTACCAAATGAAACTTAGCTGTGTTTCATGGATCAGCTTAATTGTTTTTCCTGATAAGTGGCAAATACCTGGGCATAGTTTTGATATAAGACATTTGTAATTCCTTCTGGCATGGCAGTTAGTACTCTATTCCACTGTCATTATGAAACCTATAATGGATCTACAAACAAAATCCAGTTATAACCAACATCAGCTGACAGATATGTGTGATGGGTTACTTGAATATTTATGCCTTAGTGAGATTTTCTCTGATGACCCATTTTTCTCTGGTGCAAAAACAGTGTTGATACTCACAAGAGAGGGATTAATCAGTGAAAGAATGACCCACTGATTTTGTGGACAATAAAGTCACCTACTTTTCGTCACTCATTATTCAATCTTCATGAAACGAAAGCTGGTTCCGATGGTCCACAAAGAACCTCAATTCTCTCTTCATTTAATTTTTTATTTGCCACTAAAAACTTCTTTCCTCTTCCCATCTCAATGATGTCAGTATACCTGAAATATTCTGGGGTATTTTCTGCCTTTTTCACATGTAGTATATTCTCATAAATAATACAACTTCAAGTAGACTGATGATTCCCAAATTTATATGTGTAAGGGAAACACCTTTACATCTTTTGTCTTCAAAATTCAAATTACCCTTAGACATTCTTATTGGACTCACAAATTGTAAGTTGGTGTTTCCCATTTCCTGCCTGAGTACTCTTGGCAAGAGGTGGAATTCTCTGCTCTTTTCCATGTAAAACAGATATAAATTTGTACAATCTTGGGTTGTTCTGAAAAATTGACATTATTGAGCCAAAAATTCCTATCACTCTATCAGGGACAGCATAAATACTCATCACTACAAAATATACTAAATGTTCTTATCTTTTTTTTCTCCTGGGCTACCCCTGATAAGCAAATTTCAGCCATTGAAACATGATACTACTTTTAGTTCTACTGTTAATATTAAAACTCTCAGATAGACAGTTTTTATTTCCTCTCTTCCCTAAATTCAGGAGAAATCATCATCATCTAGTGATTGGAGCCTTTACATGGAATCCCATTGGAACTGAACCTTCTGAAACAAATTAAGAAAATTCTTACACCCCCAGGACTTCACTAACATCCTAACTCAATACATGTACAGGTTTTACATCACTCCTTTCGAATCATCAACACATGTCTTCTGTTCTATCCAGGTATTATGCAGGCTTTCTTAAAGCAAATGAAATCAGGTGTATTTGCTGTTAGTGCAATTCCAGTAGTATTTACATTTCATTAGCTCAGTGAACTATGAGGACAATATTGCAGCTAAGCTGACATTTATAAGGAAGGAAAAAATAGTTATATTTTGGCAAAAAATAGTGATTTGTGAAAATTACTTTAGGGGCCATCATCTTTGAATGTCCATCATAATATTCTTTTCCAAAGCATGTTAGTGAGATCATACAGTTTCCTTTCTTAAGAACTTGTACTGTAGGCTATGACTGGTGCTAATCTTCCCATGAAGAAAAAAAAGTGAACAGAAACTAAATCTTTACTTATGATTGCAACAAATATGTCTAATGAATCTAGTAACTTCACATTTTACTTTTATACAGCAAAAGATCAGAAATAACAGTTCTTTTTCTGAGATATCTAAATTATTACCATTTTAACTTCAAGCATGGAAGTCTGGCATTTTACTGAGACCAAGTTACTAGAACATTAAATAAAACATTCAAATTAACAAACAAAAAAATCCTTACTCTGCTGGAAGACCAAAAAAAGGCTTTAGTTGAATATACAATCCTGAGAGCTCAAGATGAAAATGAAAGTGTAAGAGAATCCGTCCATCCATAAATGGCCTGTCATGGAGCTTTGCATATTTCTACAACATCTTTCAGAACATACATGACAGCAGAGTCTTCCATGATTTCCCCACAAGACACTCTTTGATGGCCTCTTTCACTATACCTCTGAGAACCAATTCCTTGAATCTTACTACTAGAATAAAAACATTTATTTTAAAAGTTTGACAAATGTAAGGAAATTTTTATATTTCAGACATAATTCCAGATATGTCAGGACATAAATTTTACACAATGAATTTAGATGCTTTGTCCTCTGTCTCTTATGCACGCGCAAGGACCATCTGGGTGAATTAGGGGCCCTTTGTGGCCAAACTGCAAACATGATAATGACTCTAATGAGAAGTGAATTTTGGCAAAGAGACATCATGTCCTAAGAGACATCAGTGGGAGCAGTGTCCTTGGGAACATTAAGACGCAGCACCTTGGCCAATGAGAAATAATTTCTGGCAAGATTTCTAGTCAGATAAGAAATTGACGAAAACATGAACTATAGTTTGATATCTAATTTATACAGGGAATAATATCAATATACATAATAATATGTTTATGTAGTTACATGTAAACAATTATTACTGTTTAACTTATTAGTATAGATTTGGATCATAATTTTTCTACATAATGTGGTTTATCCCAACAAAAAGGATAGAGAATAAGGAGGCTGGAAGCATTACACAAAACTAATATTCAGGAAAAATTTTCAAATCTTGAAAATAAGAATGATTATTCTTACAATATCATTGCTTGACAAGTTCAGCAAACACAATATCATTGCTTGACAAGTTCAGCAAACGAAGCACAAGGAAAATGCATAAGCAATTCACTTTGCCATTTACTGTTTGCTTAATGTCCGAACCATGAAGTTACACATGAAATTTTTTCATCATGCTAAGACTATGACGTTACTATTCTTTAGGACATGAACTATAAGAAAATATATGTCAGCAATCCTTCATTATAACGTCTTTAGTCCATGAATACGTTTCTGAAAAAGTTTCACCTTTTACTGGCTTGATGGTGAAATTGAATAAATATTTTGCTAGAATTCATTCATAATGCGTCATGATTGTCAACTTTAAAAAATTCATATGTTCATTGAATTCACCTCCAAGTGCAGAAAATTTTCAAAAATACAGGATTTGTTTTTCTTCATTATAAATCCTGGGTCTCTTTGCTTATCAAATGGGCTTGAGCATGAACCTATGGTTAACAATGGCTGTGGCCACCACTGCTGAGGGGTATAAGCTTCCTCACAGACAGGACAGCTTACACCTGCCTAACTCCATTTTCTGAGTACAACACGCTTTCTGTTTATTGGAGTAACATTGCACAGAGCACATGGGTCTGGTGTCCAGCATCAAACATTAACTCCTATATATTCGACAATGAACTCAACACTAAAAGTCCTAAAAGAAAATACAATTTGTATCTAAAAACAAAACACTTCATTTCTAAAATGATTTTGATAGTTGACCACTACTCTCTCATACATGACAGTAAGATTTTTACATGTTCTTTGAACCACAGAAAAAATTCACCCTTATATTATCAAGCTTCTTTTCCTTTTCAAAAATAGAAATTCCTGTCTCTTAAAATCCTGGATAAATAAACTAAATTTTGTAAGGAAAATTTAAACATGTTAAAGACTAGATAAAAATGGGCCTCCCCGATGGAACAGCAGGATGAGCACAGCGCTGTGAAGCTGTCCGCAGTCTCTGCAGCGGACAGAGACTGTTGGATTCCTGTTGGATTCCCGGCCAGCCAGGGAGATTC